TATCCAGAAAGTCATGTATTTACCTGTATCCAGAAAGTCATGTATTTACCTGTATCCAGAAAGTGGAAAAAGTTATTGAAAATGAGAAGGTGAAGATCTTGTGGGACTTTCGAATACAAACGGATCGTCATTTGGAGCACAACACGCCAGATATCACGGTTGTAGAGGACCGAAGTGTACAGTTCATTGATATCGCTGTTCCTGGAGATGCCAGAATCGAAGAAAAAGAACTAGAAAAAAATCATGAAATATTGTAACCTGGCCATTGAAACGACACGGCTATGGATGAAGCTTGTAACAGTGATACCCACTGGGGCACTTGGCACCAGCTCCAAGAATTTTACAAGATACATGGAGACTAAAACATATGAAGAACGGTTGCAGGAACTGGCTATGTTTAGTTTAATGAAAAGAAGGACTAGGGGAGACATGATAACAGTCTTTCAATATCTCAGGGGCTGCCACAAAGAAGAGGGAGTCAAACTCTTCTCCAAGGCACCTGAGGGTAGAACAAGAAGCAATGGGTGGAAATTAATCAAGGAGAGAAGCAGCTTAGAACTGAGGAGAAATTTCCTGACATTTAGAACAATTAATCAGTGGAACAGCTTCCCTCCAGAAGTTGTGAATGCTCCAACACTTAGAAGTCTTTAAGAAGATGTTGGATAACCATTTGTCTGAAACGGTATAGAGTCTCCTGCCTAGTCAGGGGGTTGGACTAGAAGATCTCCAAGGTCCCTTCCAACTCTGCTACTGTATTATTGTATCCACAAATTGCAGCTTCCTGCAATAACACCAGCGGAACTGCAAAAAACTGAGCTACTCAGAACATCTTATATTTTAAGAAGGTACTTGGTTGATACGTAGGATGCTGGCAGCAATCCGTATCAATCATTAGCACCAGTCACTGGTATTTGTAATGCAGTGTTTAATGAATAAAGTATATAATAATAATATCTCTTCTATCCTGCTCTAAGGAGTAGAGGGTCGGTCTCTGACAGAAAGCCACTTGAAGAGATTAGAAGCATTTGAAATATGGTGATACAGACGGCTGTTATTTGTAAGGTGCGTTGACAAAATCAGAAATAAGGAAGTGATAAGCCGCCTGGGAAAGCCAAGGGAAATCATCAAAGCCATTAAAAAGCAGAAGTTAAAATATTTTGGACATGTGATGTGACACCTGGAAAAATATGCTACACTTCACTTAATGCTCCAAGGAAAGGTTGAAGGCAAATGAGGTCCAGGCAGAAGAATATCATGGCTTGGGACTGGTTTGGACAAAACTCAGCAGCACTTTTTCATGTGGCTGTGGACAAAATTAGGATTGCCAACATGATTGCCGACGTACTTGTGACAGATACGGCACAAGAAGAAAATGATGTGACTAATACCAATATAATGAGCATTATTGTAATTACAATTATTATTTCCCAAAATTGCTTGTACCCAGACAAGAGAGTTTATTTAGAAATGGAATTTTTATATGTAATTTTTTTTAAGGGAGTGTGTGTGTGTGTAGCCCTTTTGCTAGGAACCCACAAGGCAGGAGCTTCAATACGGTCACGGGACCTGGGTCGTTTTCCTCCCTTTTTCTCTGGAGGACGATTTCTCTCCATCAAATTATGAATCCATTATCGATTAATTCATCAGATTTCTCCATCCAACCCCAGTGAATTCCGACGAGCAAGAAGCGCTTTCTTTCCCCTCAGCTTCGGTCGCCTAACCGCCTCAGGCGCGGGAGGCTCTTTAATTTTTTTTACTTCCACCCCCCCTCCCACACCTAACCGCCTCGCTCGAAAAGGGCGGGAAAAGCGCGCTCGCGCTCGCGCCCCGCCCCTTTTAACGGCCGGCGGCCTCCGCAGTCGGGTGGGCGTGGCCACGGGCGAGGGCCCGTCCCCACCCCCCCTCGCGTCAGCGGCATCGGAGGAGGAGGCGGCGGCATCGGGCGACCCTGCAGGATGGTGGCGGCGGCCGCGGCGGCGTCGGTGCCGGCGGCGGAGGCTGAGCCAGGCGGCGGGTAGAAAATGGCGGATTTCGAGGAGCTGAGGGTGAGGGAGAGCGCGCCGTCCCCGCGGAGGATCCTTCCCCCTCCCGTGAGCCCCGATTTTTGGGGTGGGGGTGTGTGTGGGGGTGCTGTCCTCTTCTTTTCTTCCTCCCTCCCCGAGGCTGATGGGAATTGTAGTCCGACGCCTGGGAGTCGCGCGCAGGGGTCGGGGCCAAGCCTGGCGGCTACCTTGCCTTCCCTCCCTCCCATTCCTGGTCTCTCTCTTTTTTTTTAAACACCCTCCCCGACCTTCGTTTCCTTCCGGTCGCCCTCGGACTACAAGGCCCATCCTCCTGTCCCTGCCGGACTGGTCTTGGCGGGCCAGAAGGAGCCTCTCGGCGCTTCAGAGAGCGGGTGAAAACAAAGGGAGGGCTGCTTCTTCCCACCTTCTCGGGGGGGCGGGAGCGGGAAGGAAACCCGTGTTTTTTGCTTTAAATCCCCTCAGGAGCGGAGCCTGGACTGAACTTGGCTGCCTCACCTAACTCCCCCCCCTCCTTATTTCCTAACTCACCCCCTGAGTCCCCCCCCCTTTTGTCCTAAGTGACCCCTCTCAATCCCTCTTATTTCATATGTCACCCCTATCATCCCCCCTTATTTGTTAAGTTACTCTTAGCAGCCCCCCTTATTTTTTAACTCACCCTAAACCCCTCCCTTATTTCTTAGGTCGCCCTATCAGGCCCCCTTATTTCCTACGTCGTCCCATAACCCCCTCCTTTATTTCTTAATCACCCCTATCAGCCCCCACTCTTATTTCCTAAATCTCCCCATAACCCCTCCCTTATTTCTTAGGTCGCCCTATCAGGCCCCCTTATTTCCTACGTCGTCCCATAACCCCCTCCTTTATTTCTTAATCACCCCTATCAGCCCCCACTCTTATTTCCTAAATCTCCCCATAACCCCTCCCTTATTTCTTAGGTCACCTTATCAGCCCCCCCCCCTTATTTCCTAAATCTTCCAATAAACCCCTCCCTTATTTCTTAAGCACCCCTATCCCTCCTTATTTCTTAAGTCTCCCCATAACCCCCACCCTTATTTCATAAGCACCCCTATGTGCTGCTTATTTTTTAGGTCATCCCTACCAGCCCCCCCCCTTGTTTCCTAAGTCTCCCCTAACCACTTATTTCTTAAGCACTCCTATCATTCTCCCTTATTTCCTAAGTCACCCTCTGAGCCCCCCCTTTTGTCCTAAGTGACCCCTATCAGTCCCTCTTATTTTCCAAGTCACCTCTACCAGACCTCTCTTTACTTCCCAAGTCACCCCTATCAGTGTCCCCCTTATTTGTTAAGTTACTCTTAGCAGCCCCTCTTATTTTTAACTCACCCTAAACTCCTCCCTTATTTCTTAGGTCACCCTATCAGCCCCCCCTCCCTTATTTCCTAAGTCTCCCCATAACCCCTTTCCTTATTTCTTAAATCACCCCTATGTCCTGCTTATTTTAGGCCTCCCCTCCTTATTTCCTAAGTCTCCCCTAAATCCCTTATTTCTTAAGTCACCCCTATCAGCCCCCTTATTACTTAGGTCTCTTAGCCCCCCCCCCTTATTTTCTAAGTCTCCCCTATCACTTAGCCCCCCTTATTTCCTAAGTCTCCCCTAAACCATTCCCTTTATCTTAAGTCACTCTATCAGCCCCCCTTATATCCAAGGTCTCCCTTAAACTGTTCCTTTATTTCTTAAGTCATCCCTATCAGCCACCCCTTATTTTCTAAATCATCCCAACCCCCTTTTTAAGACCCCTCTTAGCCCCCCTTATTTTCTGTCACCACCCCCTCCCTTATTTCCCAAGTCTCTCCTAACAATTCCCCTTATTTCTTAAGTCAGTCCTATCAACCCGCTCCCTATTTTATTAAGTCACCCCTAGATCACGCCATCCTCCGAACAGCACCTCCTTTTGTGTTTCTCAGATATTTCCTTTCCCACCAGCAATCCACTCAGTTTGGCTTCATCTGTGGCCCATAATGATGAGCTTTTGTGTCCCTTCATAGCCTGCAACTCCCAAGTTACTCAGTCCACGTTTTTCCCTTGCCTCCTTCCCAGCATCTCTTTCTACTGGAGTTCATCCCATGCCTTTCTTTTGGCAAGAAAAAGAGCTTGGCTTCTCACTTTAATAAAGAGGGATTTTTGGAGACTATATTAATTTTTTTCCCTGTGCGTATTATCCACCTAACCCCTTCTCGGATCCTAATTCTGTTCTCCCTTTGTTGCGTTCTTCTTCTCCCCTCCATTTTCAGAAAGGCCCTTTTCTTTAAGCTTCTGCTTTATCCTCCTGGGTTTCATTCCCTCAATTGAACCACAGAAAGTTCCGGGCCGCCTCTGAGTGTCAGGATCCAGTATAATATTCTACAGTACATACTTGAGAGGCAGTCCCATCTGTTGTTGAGACCTGTTTTTAAAAAATAGGCAAGGTTGGGCTTTTAATCTCTGGGTTTACTCTTGGGAGTCCTGATGCGAAGATACTTTCCTGAAGAAGTCTGAAATCCTTTATAGGCAATCTGCTTTTGAATTCATTATTGTTAGATACAGATCACTGAGCTGAAGATAATACTTATGTCACTTCAGTTAACAAATCTAACAATGCTTTGTAGATTTAACTACAGGTAATTTTCACTTAATGGCTGGTCACTTAACCACCTGTTTGTAGTTATGATGAGCCCCGCTCTCAAAAGGTCCTTGGAACCCAATTCTAGGTTTCTGAAGGTGGCAACCTTCCTGGTAACAAGGCAGCCTTGCCTTAAAGCCACATATTTATATTTATTTTTCACACTTCTTAACCTGCTATCTCTTCAAATTTGGAGCCCTCTGCAGTCATGTGATACTGTTCACGGCTGTTTTAGCCAGAAATTGGCCTTTTCAGTCCAATTTCCAGGAATAAACACCCATAGGAATGCATTAACTTGCTTAACAATTGCCACCTTTGTTTAATAACTGCTACAAAAAAGATTGTAAAATCAGATTGGTCGCAAGGGTGTCTTGATTTACAGCTGTCATGACTTATGACAGAAATTCTGGGATCCATTTCGGTCATAAGTCAAGGACTATTTGTGTGCCACTATTTCTTGTATACCTTATGACTTCAAACTTTTTGTATTTTGTTTTGTTTTTTATTTCGTGAAGCTGATTTTATTGGGGAGGATGTATATGCAGGTTCTTACTTTTTAGTTATGATTTTATTCTGACGTTAAAGTAATACCTTTTAGTGCACAATTTTTTTTTATTAATGGTCAAGGAGAGAAGAATAAAAGTACAAATATGATTTGAAAGAGTCAATATCAAAAGTTCATCTCAATACTGTGTTATATCCTTTGTTGGCAATGACAGAGGTCAAATGTTTTCTGTAAGTCTTCACAAGGTTGGCACACATTGTTGCTGCTATGTTGGCCCATTCCTCCATGCAGATCTCTAGAGCAGTGGTGTTTTGGGGCTGTCGCTGGGCAACACGGACTTTTGATATTGACTCTTTCAAATCATATTTGTACTTTTATTCTTCTCTCCTTGACCATTAATAAAAAAAAATTGTGCACTAAA